CCCCCCCCCCCCCCCCCGCCCGTTCTCTCTCGTGCTCGAGTACCGTCTACACATGTGTATTGTGGTACCACATACATACCGTAGCTCCGTGATGCACGGCGTACAGGTACCCAATGTTCTTCCGACCGAAGTGGTTCCAGGGAAGCAGAGACACGATGCGGTAGGGTAGCTGCTCTTGATCTTGAGGCGTGAGATAGATTACTCCCTCCACGTTGTACTCGGCAGGGCCTGGCAAGATGGGATCATGAAGCGGGATCATGATTGGTCGTGGAATTGTCCATGATTGTTGCTGATTTTGGTGGTGACGGTGTTGCTGCTGCCGGTGACGCCAGCAGGTCCCACCTCCAAAACAAGCACCACCTTCCGCATGAACACTATCCTTGAGTTGTTGCTCCCAGTCGATGATGTAACCGGCACAGAGGACACCGTCGTCGTCTTCCTCGTCTCGCATGCTGGTTCTTGTTTTTGCTGTTGAGAAACTACATGCAGACACCTCTTCCAAGCTCGTCTTTTCCCCTCTCGCCTCGCGCCATCGCCACGCGCCTCTCCAACGTCTACGACAACAACAGCATGTACCGAACATCAGCCCCTCGACACGTCCCACGCCCCTTCCACCGCGACGGCAGCGCCACGACCGACAAGTACACATCGGGGGGCAAGAAACAACAACAGCAAGGCAACTTCAACATGTCACACCACGTCCAACCACACCCGCACCCACCATTCTGGTCGCCGACGACCACGACGCACCAGTCTTCCGCAGCACCCAGCTGGCGCACGGTGTCGGTGGGCTCGAAAATGGACGTCAGCACCGCCCAGCGCTCGCACTTCTCCGAGTCGAGCGGTGCCGGGAACATCGTCTCGGGAGGGGGCAGACGGGCACCTTCGTACCTGATGCGCCAGAATTACGAGGAGGCAGGCGTGGCCTCATGTATCCGTGATGCTAGCGATTAGGCCGCCGTCACCGACGTGCCATACGCAAGACGGGGTAACACTCGAGGCGCTCGAGATTGCCTGCAAAAACAACACTGGAAGCATCATAGACTATACCGTGTGGTGGAAATCGACGCTAGGACATGCCGACGACCATCAACAAGCATCAGTGGCAATTAAGCAGTGAGAGGGCCAACGATCACGCCAAAAACAGCAGCAGTGACAACAACTGTCTCCCTGCAAGGACAAGAAACACAACCAGGACACACCAAGGGAATAACGGACACACAAACAGTGAAAACACCCCCTCGCATACGGAAAACCGCATGACTCACGTCCTGACTTTTTCCATCGCGAACAGGCTTCCGCCCGTGGCAGAAGAATGCCCCTTCTCCGTGTCCACTTCTACAGCCGCTAGCTGCCTCGCGGCGTTCAGGGCCTCCAGCGCCGCGCGGCTCCGCTGGGGGGGGGCGGCGGCTTCCGTCTCCTGCCGAAGGTTTCGTTTGGAGTTGCCATCGGCGCAACAGTAGCAGATGACCACCGAGGCGAGCAGCAACGCGCGCAGCTTGCTATGGGCAGGCAAGTACCTGCGGGCGGGGGAACGTCCAAGCAAAACCTCAGTGCACCGCACATTGCACGGACGCTAGATGCTCCGTGGCCCAGCAGGTGGATAAGGGAAGACAACACTCACAACCATCGAAATACTATTTAATACTTGTATTGCGTTGGTTGGATGATGTCAACACCACGCATATTAAACGGGTCTTGAAAAAAGATTCCACCGCATCCGGCGGGATCGAAAACGTTGTGCGGCAGAAAATGGGGAGAGAGGAGCAACAGTGACTGAACACAATGAGGCCTTGGTTTCACCACCAGTGTCCAGCCAAAACCTGCGAAATAAAGTAACCGCTCAGGGAGGTACAGCAGGGGCGGGAATACTGATGGCATTCCAGTTGGCCCTAGCCCCATCCTTTTCATGCTCTCAAGGGGGTGATGCCAACCTCTCTTGGTTGACTGTGACTACTGCTGTAGTTTCGACAACGACCGAAAGAGCACTCAGCGATGGCACAAGCCATGGATAACGCCACATTGGAAATGTTCTGGAGGAAACCCCCTCCCCCCCTTAAAAACTCCAGAGGTCGCACAGAGCAGCGGCTGGGACTTGCCTTTACCAGCATACCCCGCCGTCTACCTCCACACGCCTTCAAAATGTTTTCACAAATCTAAAATCAAGACAAAACAGGTGATGAGGCATGTGCAATAACGAGATCTCTGCGTTACAATGTGCTCATGTTCGATGGGAAATCAGTAGAGGATACCACACAACAGCGACATGTACGTCGGCACGCCCAGAGATCCGATAGTTGCTCGGGCGCTATGCTGTCGAAGGCTGCAGCTGCAGGCCGAAATGTCCGCAAATCTGGCTCAACAAACTACTCACGTTACCACTGCTAAACACGCCGTCACGGACCCAATCTCCCGAAGTGCGCGTGAGCGGCGGTACTGCTGTGCCTCCAAGCTCACATCACAAGCTGCCTTGGACAACCAGCAGTTAGGGGGATTGGGTTCGTGACGGAGCGTGCAGCAGAGGATCGTGAACGTTTTTTGGCCCAGGTTTGCGGATATTCCGGACCGTAGCGGCAGCCTTGACAGCGCGGCCCCAGCAACAGATCTGGGCGTGCTTACGCGCGTAGCGCTTCACCATGGTATCCGTCCTCTACTGATTCCCCATCGCATACATCTTAGCACTTTCTAAGCCAGAGTGTCGCTTTCAAGTCTTGCATTGAATATGTAGGCTGGTACCTGAAAAGGGGGTTGTCATGACTTACTGGACGTAATAGAACTTGGATAACAGCGGAGGGTCTGTCGGGGATAAGAAAAATAGTGCTCTGTCTCCATCCACTCCGGGATTGTGGCCAAATTTCTTCGCACCCCCATGATCAAACCATAGGTGCGACATAGTGCACCCTACTACGTCGTTGGCCCTTTCCTAGGTTGGGGCAGGAGTCAGAACTCCCGCGCCGCGTTCCCTCTCAGGGAGGGCGATCAAGCATTGGACGAGGCTGCAGAGAACGGCGCAGACAAACCCGAACTCAGGAGTGCTTGGCTTGAAATAATGTCGGCGAAATTTTTGCTCTCACGAATGAGCCTCCAACCAAAATCTTAATCCACAGCAATCGTGGACAGGTTCGGAAGAAGCCCACACCAGACGTGGGGTGAATAGCCTCGAGAGTGTCCCGAGGCGATCCAACTGCCAGGAATTCGATCTTTTGTGCGACAGAGTTGTTGCCGTAGGGTACTACACAACTTGGCCCAACGACAACCAAAGGTAGAAACAAACGGGCAAGGCTGAAAAAAACACGGACAGAAATGTGTAGAGCACGATGCTAAACTTGCTTAGAAGATTTGGAAGATGAGCCAAAAAAACTACCAATACTTCGTTCACAGAAAAAAAAAAAATCTTCCCGCAACCCTGTAAACAAGCACATGGAAGCGGAGAGTGTGCGTCGTCAAGCTGTCCTCTATTGTTTTAGAACATACCATTGGCGTATGTACAACGTATAACATTCAATGATACGACGAACCTTCCCGTTTGAGATGAAATTCCTCAGTGAACGGGCGTCAAAGTCTTCAAGAGCAAGAAGTTTTTCATTTTATTGCTCTTCCAAGAACAAATGGCGGCGTTCGCGGTCAGTCAATCTCTAGGATGTGTACAGCTACTAGCTTGTGGTGCTTCTATGAGAGATGCATCTATGGGAGCAAGCCCTTCATCATTGTTCGTGAGTAAGACGATACGGCTAGACGCCATAACCTGGATATAGGATTGATCCAGGCAACGATGGGCAAAAGACGATTGCATCTCCAGGAAACATACGGCAGGAAATCGCTCTCTATACGACCGGTATGGACAGCGCCATCCGTTGAGGGGTAACCTCTTTCGCAGAGCGCACGCAAGCGGATGCGCTACCGGCCAAGCCGGCCGCAAACAAGGTCAAGGAAACGTACTTGGGCAACAGCCAGCTAAATAATTGGTGCTACGATGCAGAGGGGAGATGGAGATGCAGAGCAGCAGGAACATTTCATCACTTGAAAAAAACACGAGCACCCAGTGACCACTTCATGTATTACCGGTTCTTTACCCCTGGTGCCACTTACATATTGATGGACCTTTCCCCCGCGTGAGATTGACGACCAGCAAAGAGAGGGGATGTCCCACGTGTTGATCGATCTGCCACCCTAGTAGTACAAGACTTTCCCCAAGTCTGCGTCCCTGGGATCGCCGGTGCTATGCTCGTGTTCTGCGTAGTCCCAGGTCTTGTGGTTGCAATGCTGGAGGGGGTTCCGCATGTGCAAGAAGGAGACCATGGGGGCTACGATCTGATTAGCCGAAACGGCGCAGTTTGCCCCGCGTCAAGCTCACCACACAGCACACACCTTCACGTGTCAAAAAGCAACGTGTGTCGAATGTTTTCCACGAGTGTATCCTCATCGGTCGTCTTGACCCTAAAAATGGCGCGCAACTGTACGAAATATGCGAACGATTGGGAGTACCTGCTCGAAAAATCAGCATACAGCTGTGGAATTTACGTTTTTGAAGGGGAACAAGAGCACAGCCTGCCACGGCACCACGGCAAACCATGGACCACATCATGTGCATGTACAAGCCTGGCCTAATGCACCATATGGATGACATATGCATGCGTACAAGCGTGCAAGCACGAGCCACCATTGATAATCTGTAGGCTTGAAGCAGGCCACTTGGCCACAAGAAAGCAGGTGACAAATCTGCAGAATCCACCAAACACCCACCGCATCTTAGTCTAAAGTACAGTGGTAGCAGCCCCTTTCATTCATAAAAAAGGTAATTCGAAGTACAGAAGAGTTACAGTGAAACTGTTGCATAAGGAAGCGAAATCAGCCGCGGGGTCGGCTCATACCTGCCGTTGTCCGTGTTAATCTGCGATGCTGCGTCATGTAGACCTACTTCCGTATGGCATACATATATATGCGAATAGGTCGGTTGGGACGAAGAGGAGTACAGTCAAGGGCGGATTAGGCCCGCCGGAAACCAAGTTTGGGGCCCGTGCATCATCGTGTTGGACCGGCCCGATATTTAGGTACAAGCCTTTTTTGCACTCCTGGGATGAAGGGATAAGAGGTCGCGCTTGGCGCTCCGCGGCTCATAAAATAACTCAAAATCTAGAACCTGAGAACCATTTGGGAGCTCGGTTTAAACCACCTAGACTACACTACTAGACCCCGAGTGGGGGGAGTTTTTTCCGCGCGCACCATCACAACAGCATAATAACCCGTGCTGCGGAAAGTACCTGCAGTAGGCTGGGTCGTGCGCCCCCCGTGAATATGTGTTGCTTTTGTTTTGGTACACATACCCGAAATGTTGTTGATGCGATGTTGTTGATGCGAATCGTTGTTGTCAGCACTCCGTATGCGCTAATAAATGAAGAAGTAGAAAAAAATGCCCCACCACTCAGAACACAGCAGCAGCAGAATATTTGAACTAGCACGCGAGCTGTCGCCGATCGCGAGCCCCTCGCCAATACGCCCTGTCGTGGGCTGCAAACCACACGCGAAAACCCTCTGCGATATGCAGATAGTGAAAGCCGCGAGCTGTAGAGGAGGCGATGCGTGGTAGCTGGTGTGAACACGTGCCAAAGTTGGCCACTAAGTGTGGACAAGGTGAGGTCAAAAAAAGAACACAGCAGCAGCAGAATATTTGAACTAGCACGCGAGCTGTCGCCGATCGCGAGCCCCTCGCCAATACGCCCTGTCGTGGGCTGCAAACCACACGCGAAAACCCTCTGCGATATGCAGATAGTGAAAGCCGCGAGCTGTAGAGGAGGCGATGCGTGGTAGCTGGTGTGAACACGTGCCAAAGTTGGCCACTAAGTGTGGACAAGGTGAGGTCAAAAAAAGAACACAGCAGCAGCAGAACCAAACCGACACACACGTGTCCCGCCGCAAAGAGAGGACAAACCGGGTGTGAACGAGTGACGTAGGGGTTGGTGCAAGGAAACAACGACGCGAGAAGTGTTCACCTATTAGGAGTAAGGTTGGGCACTCGTTTTTGTTGCAGAACGTCGCCAATTGGCGCAGTTATCGATGAAACGGATTGTGAATAGAGTACATATCGGCACCGAACGCAGCGACGCGGGCACGAAATGAGAAACGCTTGGGTGCGGAATGATGGTCTTGTTACGCTACAGCTTGTGCACTTTTCCGCACCGAAAACGATCCTCAAACGGCTTGTTTATCGATGCAAAGGTGGTGCGAACACACACACACCATGAAAGAGTTCAACAACAAGCCACCAGTGCCAGGAGCCAAGCTCAATGGATACGTCGACGACCTCCAAGTGCATCTTCCACCAGGTTTGGCTAGAAATATTCAGGCCATCGCCACCGTAACCAACTGGATCCAAGACCACCTGCTGCAAAAAGGCATTGAGCTCAGCCTCCCGAAATCGAAAGTCCTTTTCCCAGAAGGATTATTCTTCTCCTCTTTGACAAACGACGAACAGCGAGATTTGACGAAAACGGGTCTCTCGGTTGCTGAAGGTGGTATGGCCATTGTTGGAGTCCCAGTAGGGACAGAGTGCTTCCAGAGGAGTTTCGTCACCAACTTCGCCCGCGGTAACCCTGCTGAGTTGATACGCCGCCTTTCCACACTTGACGACCCGCAAGCGAGCTACCAACTGCTACGTTTGTCTGGCGTTCCACGCTTGTTTCATCTGCTGAGAACGATTGCACCGAGCATTACCAACACTGCCGCAAGAGAACATGACAACCTGATGATATGGGCAGTAAGCAAGATCGTTCTCGGCAAAATGGCAAACACTGTGGGAATTCCAACCGTGGAAGAGGTACGCGCAAACCCAGAGAAGAGTGAGGTCGACTTCTTCAAAGATTCAGCTCGGGCACAGGTGCACCTGCCCATACGTGAAGGGGGGCTTGGAATTACGAGCAGTGTTCTCATTCGAGAATCGGCTTTTGTGGCAGGGCAAGCATTAGTGTTCTCCAAGTCAGTGCAGGCATCAACAGGACTCACCATTGAACAATGCCTACCGCAACTTGCACAGCTACCAACAGGATTAGCTCTGATTGACTCCCTCAAGAAACTAAAAGAGATCATCACCAAAGACAAGCTCGAAAGAGCTGTTGGTCAGTCATGGACTAAACTTGTTACATCTGACGATTTAACTCCCACTCTTCGAGGGGTTTATCTCATGGAGGCCGGGAAGGTAGTAGCCGAGAGACAAAATGGAGACGACAACCCTGACGAGGAACCACCATCTCCGTCGACATGCGGGCGAAATGAATTTGGCCGGTACTATCAAGTCTTCGGAGCTCAAGCCGTCCTGTCGAAGCCCCTTCATGCAGCAGTCCGCCATATGGTAGTAACAGGCTTGAAAAAAGCAGGATCCCAGGAAACCTCAAAGAAGAGAGCCTTGATTCGCTTGGAGGAAGCAAAAGACAAGGGGCTTCTATCATGGCTGACAACGCAGGGGCTTTCGATGGATGAACGGATGCTACCTGACCTTTATCGAGAATCGATCGGTCGTGTACTGGGGAGTCACGACCGAACTGACTACGATACAGGCAGACTTTGCAGCGCAGGTGCATTGTCACCGTGTATGGAACGGTTGAGCCGACCCCATTCCCTGGTCTGCGCGAAGACCGGCGCCTCAACCTTCCTGCACAATAGGATGGTTCGCGTGCTGTTAAAGACATTACGCGAATGCCACATGCCAATCGCTGTTGAAGACTCTTCCCCATTTACTACAGGCACTGGTAGGGGAAGAGGGCTCTACAAGATGGATTTAGTGATCCCCCCAGGATTACACGCAGGAGATAAAGAAGAGGAACTCTGCACCAAATCCATCCTTATAGATGTCACAGTCGTCAATCCATCTGCTAGGCGAAGTATCGACAAGTCACTCCAAACGCCAGGATCCGCCCTCGAAGATCGGGCTGCAAGTAAGGCAAAACACTATGCGGGAACTTTCAACCCGTCTAGATCTACCCTCCTTACTGCTGCTTTTTCGACGTATGGTGGTCTTGGCAAAGGCACCAATCGACTTATCGTAGCTATCGCCAACCACTTGGCATACGAAGCCTTTTGCAAAGGGAATTTCGCCGACGAAACAGCCTTGATTCGCCTGAAGGCTTTTCATACGAATAGGATTCGGAGACGATTTACTTTCGAGCTGGCTCGTTTCCTGTCCGTACGAACTCGTGATGTTTTTAAACGTCATGGACTGATCATGGATCAATTTCCACCCCGGCCAATAGGTTGGGATTTCGATAGTAGTACAAACGAAAACGATCATCATGATGGCGATGAGGGAAATTCGAGTGGCAACGATGAAGGAGGAGGAACAGAGGGAACAAGAGGAGGACAAGACAGAGACCAAGACAGCAGTCGAGAAGGGAATCATGGCGTGGAAGAGAGCAAGAGCTTCGAGCCAGAGGACCTCCCGCACAACAAAAGACGGAGAGACAGACAAGAAGAAGAGCTGCCAAAAAGTTGCTGCCAAAATGACGATGAGAATAGTGATGGTAGTAGTGGTGAAAGCAAGAAGAATGATAGAGAGAGCACTCCTAAACGAAGTCGAGTGCAGGGTGACAGTCTTAGTAGACACGTGCAGTTTTCTTCTGTTATTACTACGGTATCTGTCTTTAATCCTGAGAATAGCGTAGCTCCCCCTACGACGCTCGGTCCCGGGGTCCCAGATAGTGGACTATAGAAACATTTTGTGTTTCCCGCCGCACTGAGACTGACGTCTTTTCATTGGTCAGCCGGTTAGCGCGGTCGATGCTAAAAAATAAAAGCACACACATGGACATCAATCTGAGAACAGTAATTAATTCAGGGGTCGGGCTGACAGGCGGTATTATTCAACGTGCGCAGAACTCAGGCGGGGAAACAAAAGGACCCATCTAAAACATTTTTTTTGCGAAAAAAAACTCCGCTATCGCTCCGTTTATATTTTCGCACGCGCGCTTTGCGCGCGGAAAAAACTCCTAAAACCTGTATAGCAGCCATTCGTAGCATGATGCTATCGTGTTGGACCAGCCCGATATTTAGGTACAAGCCTTTTTTTGCACTCCTAAGATGAAGGGAAAAGAGGTCGCGCTTGGCGCTCCGCAGCTCATAAAATTACTCAGAATCTAGAACCTGAGAACCATTTGGGAGCTCGGTTAAGAACCCCTATGTTAGATATGCTCGCAGCAGTATCTGGTCGTAAGGATCCCAGGGGGATACGTGTTGGGAATTTCGTGTGTTGAAGGGTACCACGGGCGCAGTCACGGGAACCCTTTGGGCGTGGTCGGTGCGATGATGAGGCTTGCGTGCGTGGTGCGCACTTCTTCTTCCCTCTCTCTCCACCACCACCACCGTCTCTCTCCAATCAAGTTTCCTTCTCCCACTCTCTCTCCAACTCTCTCTCAACCTCTCTCGCTCGGCCTAACACGGCCGACTACCCATTGCCCCAAAGCAACGTCCAGAACGTGCTTGCTGCACCCCGCGTAGATTACCTTTCACCCTAGACTACACTTAAACCTGTATAGTAGCCATTCGTAGCATGATGCTAAAAGGAGGACCCGATTCGCAGGGTATCCGTCGATTGAGTTTCACCAGAATCGGTACAACTTTGCGATGACCTTAGGAACTAGCACCCCAAGCCTGGGCGAAAAGTAGTTTAGAGCACTGAGGGTGAACAATCAATACTGCTGCATGTAGCACAAGCCAATCCCGTATAATATTAGCGCCGTTTCGCGGCGCGTTGACGACCCCTCGAGCTTACGACCGGCTCATGTTCCTTCTCTACCGGCACTCACTACCGAATGCCTTGACGTTGAGATGCAACGATGCGACCGCGACGACATTGACCGTGAGATCTTCTTGCGTCGCCGGCGGGAGGCCTAACAACTCACTCCCGAGAGCCTTGTAATTACCTATTGAACAGGACACATTCCCCACACAATCAGCCTTCGCAGGTTACGTGCGAAAAAACGACAAGGAATTGATCTGGATGCCGAGCCTACGTCCACGACAAAGAAGGGTGATCGATACACAAGCAACAACAGGAAAACAAACAAAATGCGAAAAAACTAGACATTACAATTCAAAGCAGTACCTCGTGTTCGAGGTAGCGGCATGTGTATCGACAGAAGCGTAGACAGTCTGATTGGATAGATTGAATGTCGGGACTGCCAAGCTGAAGAGTCGCTGTGTAGCCGTATATTATGAGGGTAAAAAGTGAAATGTTCTTGGTCCTTTCACTCTGGCTGTAGGAATGTTCTTTTTGGATAGTACATTAGCCCGAGGATGTGTGATACGTAGGAAAGTGCTTTGGTCCGTCGGAAAGTGCATTGGTCCGTTCCATGCATCGGTCCGTGTTCGGTGTATATGCGTGATCGGGCGGATACCCAAGCGTGATGCTGCTGGAATGCTGTGCACTCACCCAGCTCACTCCACATTTCGACCTGTTCTCCTGGTCCAAGGGCAATATAGCATCTTTTCCCCAGACGCCACGAGTTTACCAACACCTCGCTTAGTCTCATCCTTACATGTAACCCTATACTGTTGCAGGTGTGTCCACCGTCAGGGGGCATCGGTCATGCGGTGTTCCAACACAGCTGTGGCACAGGTGATGCCTGGAGGTTCCGACTCCACAACAAAAAAACAAACCGCGTTGTGCCCCACATTTGCGGGAGAGTTCCATGCCAAGATCTCCCCGAGAGGGCTCCCTCCCCCATTTCACGCCGACACATGGCCGGGCGTCCGACCGCTGGTCGAATACAAGGCACGCCGGCGAAAAAATATAGACAATCAAAGAAAGACTATTATAATAACATTGGGCAACTTTGCCCACATCAGGTAACGGCGGAATGCAACGGAGGGAAATGCAATACATGGTACCGACACACAAATATATAGACTATGGCTGATTCTACTGCCGCCTGTATCACACTTAGCCTGGCGGATGTCTTGCTACGCGTTCATCCATCGCCCTCCCAACCGCAGTTGTGCGTCCCACACATTAACGGTTGGAGATTCTCGTTCCTGCGCCAACATATCAATACAATGACATTTCCTAACACGTCCGATAAGGCGATATCTACACTTTTATCGAATTAAGACGAAAAAACACACCGAACTACCGCCAAGAAATGAGCGGTAGCTCTTTTGAACGCCCACCCACGATCAGTGGGTGATCGTGAGCTCAAAGACGGCGAGGGTGTTGCTTTCCTCGTAGGCAGCGACCAGCAGGGTGTTGCCGCTGGGAGACATGTCCGCTGAGATGACTGCGGCCGACTCGGGCGCCGTGTCTCCCTCGTACGAGTTGACGTACGACTGGAACACCGGAGCCGTGGCGTCCGTCACGTCCCAGCACATCCACCCGCCGATGCGCTCCAAGCTGACGAATACGTAAATGCTGCAGACGGGAAACAATCCGGGGCAGGGAAGGGGGGGGATTACGCGAGGCCTTTCTCCTTCCGACGGTGCTTTCGAGAGGCTCTCCAGATGAAGGGGAATGTGAAGGGTGACTCGGGGTCATTCGGTTTTGCACAATCTGCTTTGGTGGGGGGTGGGATAGCACATGAAGACGCTAAATAATATCCTCGAACACCCCTGCATTACGCTTCGAGTGTGAGCCATGCCATACCATGCTCGAATGCGCCCTACAGAAGAGCTGTCTGCGGTGGGTTTGTCATCTTTCTATCCACTTAATTAAGAATGACGCGGGCAGAAAGCACTCCACCGCGGATGCCACGGAAATAATTTCCCTTCCACTTGACGTCTAAGTCTTTCTCATGGCGAGCCCGTCTGATTTCGGTCTACATAGGAAGCATGCCTGTTGATGATGCGCTGCGTGGTTTTGTGTAGCACGAAAATGGCCACAAGAAGTCATCATCACTAGCACAGCTAATAGTTGCTGTCGACGGCGGAGACAACGACGGCATCGACCTTTTCACCATCGAAGAGTATGTTACTAGCAGGAGGCTGTGTGTGGTGGTATGCAGTGCACTGACCTGCCGTCGATCTCAGCCATGGCGAGGCCTTCGGGCTCGGGACCCTTGTCGTCGCTGCGGCCATCGAACGTGGCTACGCCTGTGCGAACAAAACATCGATCGATACACGTGAAAGGTTTCGAATTGATCAGGAGCGTTGCGAACCGAAAAAATACTTTATGCGAGCACGGGAGACACCCTCAAGAAATCAATCACCACTTTGTCGACAGCAAGCACGGTTCGGGCCCAAAGCGCTTCGACATGATAAGCACACATTGCATTGTTCAAAGAAATTGATGATCGGCACACAAAGGAGGACTGCTATGTCCAAAAATCAGTGACAGCTTTCGAGTGCCAGAGAGCAAGTGAACAGCGAATACTGTACTCCCAACATGAATAAGCACATCGACCTCGAAGGAGAGAAAGAAGGCGATCGAGCTTTCCAGACAAAAAATATCGTTCTCAAATCGTTCCGGGTGCTATAAATACTTGGCTTACCGCCATTCGAATTGAAGATATCGCTGAAGCCGTTGACTGGGTCGGCAGTGAACTGCTCGATGAAGTCTCCGCTGTCCCACACCAGCTCTCCAGTCTTGCCGTCGAAGATTGAAATAGACCTAAGCAGCCAAACATAGAATGTGCATGCGCCCGAACGTCGTTGATATAAATGTATACCGTGAAGCACCGCAAAGCTGAAAATACTGATCGACTGAACCCAACGACTTCCGTTCGGTTTCCGTTAGCGTAGACAATTCGACTACGAAGCGGTACAACGCCGAAAAATAGCGGTCACTTGAAATCCAGCGATACCCGTTCGGTTTCCGACAACGTAGACTATTCCAGCGAACTGTTTCAAGCAAAGTTCATTTTGGTTGGTCTCGTGCCGCATCTGAGGCCGCAGACAGTTGACGCGTGGGGACCGTGTCATCGGATATCTGTACCTAGGCTCAGGCAGAGTGTTCAACTTTGAGTTTGCTCGACCCTCACCCACTTCAAGCGATCGTGCGCTGACGCACGAGTAGGTTTTAACCTCCCCATGCACAGCTTACCCTGTTCGTTCAAGGGACAGTGCTCCCCACCTTGAATAAGATTAGTAAATGAGAGCATGTATTATGTTGCCCGGGATATGCTTCGTCCGACGGTACTAACCTGCCGCCGAAGGCGTACAGCTCGTCGATGTTGCCGTCAAAGGGCCCGGCGGTTGTCACCTGCTCGCGACGAATTGAACATCCCACGAAGACGAGGTTGTTGGCGGAACATGTGAAGCAAGCTGGCTGTGTTCGTCTGTGGCTAGTCAACGCACCGAGCAACTAACGAGTCGAGTCCTATTGTTGCGGGGAATACAGAATTATTGTCCTCGACCTCCCTTATTTCGGATACATGAGGCCTAAGAGGCAAGCGTGGGTGGGGTCTGGCGGTGGAGGCCGCAAAGACGTGCTCTTCGCAGTTTCCGTTGTTCGCACGCGTGGTCTAGCCTGCTCCAGTCCCTCTCAGCCCCTGCTTGCCTTCAGCCTGCCGAGAGCTTCCGGAGTGTAGGGAGTCATGGTGGCGTCGAGGCCCAGCTCGGTTGCGAGGTCCTCCACTCTGATCTCGTCGGTGAAAAATTCTTCCGTGTCCTCTTCACCATATTCACGACCATCCCCCTCGTTCGCAGTTAGGAAATCTGTTGTGGTTACGTAGAGATGGGAAAGTCGTTTGTTATTGCTGACGAAGGTCAGCAATGCTGACGAAGGCCAGCAAGGGTCGGAGATCAAGTTGGGGTCCAACTTCATCTCAGGGGGCACACAGAGTAGACAATTCTAAGGGAGTATGGGTACAAAAAGGTATACCGCCTGACCACCCCACATCCTGTCAACAGTAAGGTGTACCCTATTCATGCTAACAGCCACACTCCTTTATCATACTTTTCCGGGGCTACAGACAATGTCAGTTTTGGCAGTCCGCAGAAAAAAACCACTCGCAGCGTTCCAGTTGTTTTTGAAACCGTTCCAACACTCTACAGGTACACCTTCTAACGTGTGGTGCAGCTGACGCGTGGTCACAGGCAACGTGAAAACCGAGGGAACAATTCAAGATAACAAAAAGGTATCTTGTCCACTCTGTTGTATGTTGAGGGAACCACGAGGAAGACTGCTGGCACGGATTTCCAAACACGTTTCTTCAGTGGACGGAGAAGTTACTGATGGTACTCTACAGAGCACGAAGAAGGAGGTCGAAACGCGCGCACAACCACTGCCCGCTTGATTGGAGATGATTGGACCGTTGTTTCCTTCTACGGGGAGACTCGTGAAGACGTAGTGGTTTACGAAGTCGCTTCAATTTTCGCCTAACGGTACCAATGGCAAAGCGCAAGGGAACAGCGTTCCAACATGGTGAGATCCATGTGGAACAAATTCTACATGCGAGACTCACAGCGCCTTCCGCCAGTCTTGAACGTCGTGATAGCATCGGGCATGTACATTCCCCTAACCGTGGGCCAGTCCTGCAGGTTGATCATGCCGTCCTCGTCCGAAGCGTCGAACTTCATATCGTCACCCCATTCCTGAGATAATGTAAAAAAGGAAGGCAAGGCGCTCCCTCTTGAATTCCGTTTGTTTCTACGTAGGGCGAAGGAATGTTGACGTGAGGACAACCGGAGCCAGAGGATGATGCACCGCCGAAGAATACGGATGGCATGGGTACCATCACGAAACCGGACGGACAAGGAGTATCGCTGGACGGCGAAAACCGCTCGCTGCTTCGGGTGTTGGTGACAGCGCTGGCGAACATTCTTGGAACACCAGGCACGGTTCAGGAACCGAATCAGACAACCCGAAGCATGAGCCGGTTTTTACCGCTGGTGTCAGAGTTCTGGCACCGTTGGGGCCAAAGGCGGGCGTGGTGGGAAGGCCGCAGTCGCCCGCCGCCCAACGGATGGTCGGCGTCAGAAGGTCTACTGCTCCTGTTACGACCGTACTACAGTAGACTGTAGAGACTGCAAATGGGCCGATCCCTCCGACTCCATTCAAGCATCAGTCGTCCATCCGCACCGTGTCTCATTTCCGAAGGTTCGGAATGAGGGCATCCGTGATATGTTGATACCGTTCCCATGGCCGTTTCATTGTACCCACCTTGAATCCCAGGGGGTACATGCGCTTTATTTCGCAGCCCTTGATGTCGATCTTCGCCACCGCGTTGTTTTCCTGTCAGAGCAGTAAGCCGGTGAAGGACAGCCTCCGTGAAGAACCATGTGCTTGAATAACGAAAAAAAAGAGCTCGTGCAGTACCAATCAACTTGAGGACCGAGCTTCGTGGGTGAAAGAACAACCTAGGTACGTATGACCCCAAGAAGAACCGCTGCTTCCCTTCACTACGGCTGCCGTCCGATATATCCTCCCAGCTTCAGGAGCACCCAACGACGAGGTGGGCAACGGGTCCACCTGTCGAACTGCTGATTGTACCTCGACGCAGGGTATTTCCCCAATTACTGCGCCCTCTCTTGCTGCGCGTGCGTGTCGTCGTACTGTGGCCTCGTTATAGAATGCCTACGGTGTGTTTGACCCTACCCATCATCTTCTATCGCAGACAAGAGTCGTGTTTCCCGCGTTCAACTTCACCCTGAAGTTCCTCGCGTCATTCAACGTCTTTCGCTCTCACCCGCCCTCTCTCCCCTTACATAACCTTACCTGCAACGTGACGTAGGCCGTGGTACCAAATTCCGTCACGGCAATGTACTCGGGTTCCACGTCCTGCGCCGATCGATTTCGTCAATCGGTAAATGAAGACGGGGGGGACGGCGTAGGGTACGTGGTCTGCCTTCGAAATTTGGTTGGGTTGCGGTTTAACACCTCTTCGAGGTCGAGCACTGTTCCCACTAGGTGGAAACGCGACCAAATCACTGTGCGCTTCATGATTCTACAAAACCTCTGGTTTCGGACAAAAAAATGTTCTTTGATATACAGTCCTGCGCCCTCAACCGCTTACATAGTCCGTTCTTTGCCCATAGACTATGTATCGCAGGAACGTTATCATTTATCCGTTTGCATACCGGTATGCCACTTAGTCTCGCCGCAGGTGTGATCCACCAGCCATCTATAAGAGATCCCATGCGGTGCCGCATCTACGGTATTAACCCTCGGCCCCAACCACATTTTGGACTTATCATGCAGCGTTTCTATGTTTAAGGAAGATGGAGAACAAACCATGTTTTCCTATAGCAGTGGTTGTCTGGAGACGCCGGACAACATCATCACGTAAAGAAGCCTCTTACCAAGAGTACAATCTTCGCAGTATGGTGTTAGACATACAACATATCCACTGAGCTAATCAGTCAGCGCTGACTGTTCCGCTCAGTGGATATGTTGTATTTTCAGCAAAAGTACAACTAGGGTTTGAATCCCTCTGGGAGCCATCTTGACGCCATTTTTCAGGACAAAGAAAGAAGTCTGGGATGCACTTTAGTTAGATATACAACATATCCACTGTCTGGGGTTCACACCTGAAAGTCATGGTACACATCACCAGTCGTCAACGATGAAGACATATATCCCCGCCTGAAAGCCGATGAACCGCTTGGGGCAGCGCTGATCACAGGGATTACAACCCTGGGGAAAAAACAGAGTCCGACAGCCTAACAGCTGTTCGGACCCTGGTTGTACTTTTATTTAGATATGTATTCTACAACATATCCACTGAGCTAAACAGTCAGCGCTGACTGTTTAGCTCAGTGGATTTGTTGCATATCGAACATCTCAACATATGGCGTTCTGCAGCAGCGGAGGTGGCGGTGCTACTGTAGCTCGTAGACGTTGTAGTCTATCACAGAGGTTACACTGCTGAGAGAGCGGTAGGCCCGAGCGAGCTTCGGAAAGGGAAATGTAGATGTTCTTATCAACTGACTCCCTGGTCAGGCTTTGATGGGTGCTAGATGAGAGTGAGAGAGGTGGCGAGCTTAGGGCTGCACCACCCTCCTCGAATACCGGACAAATAAGCCAATCACACGAAAGATCTAGAATGCTTCCAGAATGATTCTGGAAGCCCTCCTACGTTCTAAAAAAGTACCAAGTGCAACCTAGGTCTAGAACGCTTCCAGAAGCTTACAGAAGGTTCCAGAAGGTTTCCAGAAGGTTTCCAGAAGGTTTCCAGAACTACACACGTTCTACGTAGATGTCCCGGTCGACCTTGACCTAGCATGCTTCCGAAACATTTCTAGAACAAGAGGGTCTCCGGGGTATTGGCCCGAGTACCGGAATTTCGGGGTTCGGAACAATAAAACGACTACAGTCTAGCCTGCCAAATTATCTCTCTGCTACAACTCTGTGCTCATGTTATCTGCTAAGACC